CCGGCTGCCGCGACAGCACTGATGCCACGCTCGTATGAACGCAGGCCTGCAGCAGCCCCCCCCCCCCCCCCGACGGGGCGTGCCCAGACTGTTGCCGGAGGGTTCTCCCTCTCCTCGGGACGTCCCCGGACTGTCTCCGCCCGCCGCCCCTCCGACGAGGCGTCCCCAGACTGTTGCCGGAGGGTTCTCCCTCTCCTCGGGACGTCCCCGGACTGTCTCCGCCCGCCGCCCCTCCGACGAGGCGTCCCCAGACTGTTGCCGGAGGGTTCTCCCTCTCCTCGGGACGTCCCCGGACTGTCTCCGCCCGCCGCCCCTCCGACGAGGCGTCCCCAGACTGTTGCCCGGCGTGCGGCTGTGATCGCAGCCGTCTGCGTTCCCAGGCTGGTGAACGAGGGCACGACGCTGCAGTTCGTGCACCGGACCGAGGTGGAAGACGTGCCAACGGCCATCTGCCCGTATCAGGGCCGTGCGCTCATCAGCGTCGGCAAACTGCTGCGCATCTACGACCTGGGCAAGAAAAAGATGCTCAGAAAGTGCGAAAACAAGGTAACGGCTTCGACGGCGCCGCGGCAGTGAAAAGCTGTCCGTTGTGGTATGATGTTCGCACCGTGTTTCACCTGAGGTACCCACCGCTGATTAAGATCTCGCGCTGACTCGGTCGTGACCGCCCCGTCCACAGCACCCCAGAGACCCAGCTGACGGCCCCCCTGCTCCGCCGCAGAGCATCCCGAACCACATCGTCAGCATCCAGGCGCTGGGTCAGCGCGTGTACGTGGCGGACGTGCAGGAGTCCGTGTTTTTCGTGCGCTACAAGCGCCAGGAAAACCAGCTGATCCTGTTCGCCGACGACACGAACCACCGCTGGGTGACGGCCACCTGTCTGCTCGACTACGACACGGTGGCGGCGGCGGACAAGTTCGGGAACGTGGCCGTGGTGAGGGAGCGCGCCCCGTCTCGTGCAGCGCGCCGCGCGGCGGCCATTACAGGGTCGTGGGGCAGCTTAGCGCGTTCACGGTCCAGCTGGGTCCAGGGGGATTTGGACGCCCGAGTAAATTGCAGCTGGCGGTGTTGAGTTTTGTCTGTTGTCCTGTATGACTTCATTGGTATGCGTGGCCCACCTGACGCCCCGATACCGCCCGCCAGCTGCGTCTGCCCACCGGCACCAACGACGACGTGGACGAGGACCCGACAGGCAACAAGGCGCTGTGGGACCGCGGTCTGCTGGGCGGTGCCTCGCAAAAGGCCGACGTCCTCTGCCAGTTCCACATCGGCGAGACGGTGCTCTCGCTGCAGGTGAGTGCCCGCCGCTGCCGGCGCCGCCGCCGCCGCCGCCGCCGCTGTGTCGGCTGCCGCGCGTCATGTCCGCCACCTTCGTGTTCCGTCTGCCTCGTCCGGCCGGCTGACTCGCGCTCTGTCGACGCCGGCAGAGGGCGACGCTGATCCCGGGCGGCAGCGAGTCTCTCGTGTACACCACCATCTCAGGCACGATCGGCGTACTGGTGCCGTTCACTTCGCACGAGGACATGGACTTCTTCCAGCACCTGGAGATGCACATGCGCTCGGAGAACGCGCCGCTGTGCGGCCGCGACCACCTCTCATTCCGCAGCTACTACTTCCCCGTCAAGGTGAGCCGCGGCCGGGGCACGCCGTGGGGGAATGGGAGGGGAGAGGGTAGTTAAATGCGAGAGGCTAGTTAAATGCAGTATAATTGGTAAGGGTTCCCAGTAATTCTTGCTGTCACTTGTTGTGCATCCGGCTCAAGGATATTTACACTGACGGTCAGATGTACGCCGCAATTTAGTTGTGTGCATGAGGCAACTGCAAATAAGATGGTGACACTTTAAGTTCAAAAAAGGTTTTTGATAGACCGAATGAATCCCTAAAATACTCCTTTCATTAGCATGCTCAGTTCATCCGCGTCCAGCATGCTACGGCGGCGCGCATGATGGCTCTTCGTAAGGGTGACATTTGTTGAAGTGCGTCCATAGTTCTGGTGTGTAGGAGATACTAATTTCATATGCCACTGGTAAGTCATAATCCAATTATTCAACAACATGTTGGACCTTAACTGCCATCTCTGCTTCCAGAACGTGCTGGACGGCGACATGTGCGAACAGTACAACACAATCGACATGGCCAAGCAGAAGTCGATCGCCGAAGACCTGGACCGCACCTCGAGCGAAGTGTCCAAGAAGCTTGAGGACATCCGGACCCGCTACGCTTTCTAAGTGGCGGCGTCTGTCCCGTCGATGGTGTCCGGGGTGTTTGTGGCGGCAGATATCCCAGCTTGCGGTGGTCGAGGATGTGCTGGCTTTTCGTGCGGAGCGCGCGTACATGTCTGGCTGCTGGCGTTGCTGCCGTCCAGTGAGGACGCGTTGCAACGCTGCACTTCGCCGTCGCGCTGCCAGCAAGCGGTGATCCGACCGAGCAAACGTGTCACAGTCTTATAGAGGCCGCGCGTGTCTCTGTCATGTATCATATTTCACGAAACGCGTAATAATGATGTCATGTACCATTGCCTGGATTTGTTGTCGACCCGAAGGGACAGACCTCACCGGCGGCGCTGCGAAGGGTTGGCCAATCCAGAAATCATCTCGTCAGGTATGTCATTGTTTTCTTCTTATTCCTCCATTCACTTTCCCAGGATTTCCATGTGAAAGCAACGTAGTGCGGATTTGTCCTCACCTCCGCTTGAATGCCACTTCCTTTTTCGGAAACGAGAGATCCAGTTATGTTCAGCTATTCTTTACTCTAGTATCTGGGGGTATCGCCCAGCAGAGCCCGTGGAAGGCGACGCTGCAGTTTGTGCACCAGATGAAGCTGATCGAGCAGTATCCTGGCGGTCATTCGCCCATGCCACGGCCGATCCCCTCCTGCCAGACCGCTGCGCGACCACTCGCAGAAGATGCCCACGAAATGCAAGAGCTTTGTCTCCATATCGGTCTAAACAGGTGATTACGACTGATGGTACGACGTGCTTGTCATTCGGTCTTTGGGTGTAGCTGTACTGTGATTTATAATGGCATGTAATTATGGCACCATATGAGCTAGTTACTGTCGTGTGGTGCGGTATGATGTTCGCACCGTGTTTCACCTGAGGTACCCACCACTGATTAAGGCCTCGCGCTGACCTGTAACTGCCTGCCCCCGTCTGCGGTGTTCTTGTAACCCCAACTGAAGGGGCCGACCTTTACTCTGCCGCAGTGTTGTGATGTACACCATCAGCATCCAGGACGCGCACGTGAGCATCCTGAACGTCAAGCGAAAACTCACGAAATGCAAGAGCTTTGTCTTCATATTGATCTAAACAGGTAATTACGACTGATGGTACGACGTGCTTGTCATTTGGTCTTTGGGTGCAGCTGTACCGTGATTATGGCACCATATGGGCTAGTTATTGTGTGCAGTACGGTATGATGTTCGCACCGTGTTTCACCTGAGGTACCCACCACTGATTAAGACCTCGCGCTGACATGTAACTGCCTGCCCCTGTCTGCGGTGTCCTTGTAACCCCAACTGAAGGGCCGACCTTTACTCTGCCGCAGTGTTGTGATGTACACCATCAGCATCCAGGACGAGCACGTGGTCATCCCGAACGTCAAGCGAGAGCAAGAAGAATCCGCGGAATAACGTGAAATGCTGGACAATGAAACAAAGTGCATTCTCAAGGAACTGGAGAATCCCAGAGCCTGAAATTCGCAACATGCTTCATATAGGTAAGTCTGACCCCCCAAATGTCCGCGTGGTCACTCACTCCCAGTACGAGTCGACCTGGTCACCTTTCTGAGCACGTCATTTGAGGCTGCTCACCAGAGTTGTGCAGTACGGTATGATGTTCGCACCGTGTTTCACCTGAGGTACCCACCACTGATTAAGATCTCGCGCTGACCTGTAACTGGCCGCCCCCGTCTGCAATGCCCTTGTAACCCCAACTGAAGGAGCCGATCCTTACTCTGCTGCAGTGCTGTGATGTACATCATCAGCATCCAGGACGCGCACGTGATCTTCCTGAACGTCAAGCGAAATCAACAATCCGTGGAATAATGGAAAACGCGGCACGGTGGTGTGCTATATCAAGAAGCTGGAGAACACCAGAGCCTGAAATTCGCGGCGCGCCGTCTGTAGGTAGGTCCGACTCCCCAAATGTCTGGCGATCAATTACTCACGCCATTCGGGACTGCTTCTCTCGGATTGTGACGTATGACATGATGTTCGCACCGTGTTTCACCTGAGGTACCCACCACTGATTAATGCTTCGCGCTGACCCGCCAGTAACTGCCCCATTGGCACCTCCTCTGGAACTCAACTGACCGCATCCACCCCTGCCCTGCCGCAGGGCATGCAACTGCAGAACCATGTCGCCGCCATCCAGGACGGTCATGGACTACCGAAGTTTCCAACATCGAGCGACACCTTCCAGACACCTGGAAATATGCATGCTCGCTTCACACCTTACGTGGAGCTCCTCTATCCTTAATACGGTCTGATGCTTGGTACTTGATACTGATTCCTATCTGTGCGAGTGCGGTGTTGGTTGGCCCGCGGCGCGTGCATCGTGGCATGGCGCTATTACCTCACCTTAAGCCCCGAGAGTGTTGAGACGATGTAATGGCGCCGAGCGTCGTGTACTGAGTGCGGCTGGGGCGATTGCTGTAAATGCATATTAAAGATTGCAGCCATGCGGTGCAAGTATATTTCAAAAATACAATAAATGTCTGCTGTAGTTCGGCATTCTCTGCCATGAATAACGGCTGATGAGACCAATAGACCATGGCCGACCATCAACGCGAGAGAACGGTCGCGCTGACCAGCAGCCCCGGCGCGCGCTACGTCGCGCAACGTGTGGCGATCCGGTTGACGACGGCCTCCCCGAGCGTGCCGACGGTCAGCTCGTGATCGGTGACATTTGCGTTGATTGGCAGCCCCGGTGCGCCCTACGTCGCACAGCGTGTGGCGATCCGGTTGACGACGGCCTCCTCGAGCGTGCCGACGGCCAGCTCGTGGTCGGTGACGCCGTACAGCTGGGCGACGGCGGCCGGGTCGGCCAGCGCCCCCAGCTGGTCGGGATGGACAGCTGTGCCATCCAGAGCCTCGTGCAAGGGCGCCAGCCTGGCCGCGTCCTCCACGGCCACAGCGGCCACCGTCGCGTCGTCGGCCGCCGCGCCCACGACCGAAACGCCTCAGATATCTGGTGGCAATGGTGCGATGTGATAATGGGGACTCGCTGCAGCTACGGCAGTGGGCTGGCGAATGAGCCGTTTAAGTTTGAATGAAAAATACAATTTTAGCATTTGCACACGGGTCCGCTCAGGGTGGCCGGTTCAGTGCAAGTTTTCAGGGTGGGGATTGATTGCTGAAATCAAAATTGATCACTAGGATGCATTAGCGTACTGCAGGCAGAGAAAATGCAAAAACCAACCTGTTTTCCTGGGGACAGAGAGAATATTATCTCTGAGTTGACATTCCTTGTTTTCAGTGAGCCATCTGCCTGGTTGTGCAGGGCTATGTTGGCTGCCACCAGAAGTTGAAATGAAGAAACTATCTGTAAATTTACATTTTTATGAAACATCTCTTTGATCGGCACATTGTACGGCATGTCCCGCACACCACCAGGGATGCAGGCAACTGCAGTTGTAACAACAGGGTTACAGGCTACTGGTGATGCAGTTCTATTTCACATTTCCATTGTCCTTAATGGCCTCATTAATATGCGCACAGGTGGCCGGTTGGATGCACCACTTGAGCGGGGTCAATTTGACCCCTCTGAGATTTCAAAGACCATATTGATAAGGACACCAAATTCACAGGGTGGGTTCGCCTGTCCGTGAACTCATTAGTGTCAAGGTTTGACATTCCTAGATTACTACCTTGAGGTTGAATGGGGTCAACCAATGTCAAACTTCAAATTGGTGTCTGAAGTGCCCCTTGACTTCATGCGAGTGCTGTGAAGCCAGATACATGTTCTAGGCAAAAGGTCAATGGTGTTCAATGAAGGTCAGTGACCTTGTTTGACCTTAATAACATCAAGGTGCCTCAACACCTTCTACATTGCTCCTATTTTGTCGCCTGAATAAGCAATGTGAACTATGCTAAGCAGCATGTTGCCAGAGACAAAATGTTGACCCACATCATTTAAGGTCAGTGACCTATTTTGACCTTAAAAAGTTCATGGAACATGTCTATTGCAGTCCTTGCCATTCACAAATTTGAAATGAGCACTGTAACTACCCCATAAATAAAGCTCTCAAGTAAAAAAGAACAGCAGTTTTGACCTTCATTCAGCCTTTGTACTTGACACCAAGTAAATGGAATTGGTTGTAATCCTAAATTTAATTGGTTTATTGCCTAAGAACCTTTCTCACATATGCCTGGCTTTGTCTGACACTGTTGTCACATCACATTGAGTGATTCCCTAGAAATGCCCTATGCTGCTAGCCATGGCCTGCCCTTGGTTTGCCATAGGTCATTAACCTCACAAGGTGCATCTCCTTTTTACATCGAAAGATGTCTTTCAGTCAGCAGCTACGTTAAGTTTGGTGCTGTTATCCTGCACTGTTCAGAAATCATTCTGAAAACACCCTCAGAGGGAGAAAGGAATTTGATTCCCCACCCAGCCCATTAATATAAACTATATACTTCTGAGTTATTATGAGGGTCATCAGCTACCCATGCTGCCTTAGTTCAGAGGACAGGAAGTTTTAATGGGCCACTTCTGAATTAGACATCACTGTAGCATGCCAGTGATACAGAATGCACAACCACTGACAATGTGAAGTAAAAATATAGCTATGTAGCTAGATACAAAAACACAAAGGTAGCAGCAAGTATAGTTAATCTACAAAGCTTGGGCCTAAACATAAGCACAGCTAAACCTAAATAAAGAAATGTGATTAAACCTACAGATGGATAAAGGTTCAGCTACACATACATCTAGCTACAGGTCATCAATGAACAAGATGGGGTGATATCTATGAGGACTGACAATCTTGGAACAACTAGCTAAAAATCCTCCTTTATGTAGCTAATGACAGATTTTCATACTAAGCAAGGCTCAACTGCTGATAGCACACTTACTTTCTTTTGAATGGATTAACAACTTAACCATTTCAAATTCCTACAGATTTATGATAAGAAAAAGCAGTCAATGTTACCCTTATTGTTATATATTAAACCATGTGAAAAAGGGTAAATTGGTGCAACACCAGACAATTATCTTGCATGCATGGCGAGCAAGTGCAAACGACTGAGTCGACTTTGTTCCCAGGAAAAATTAGACACATGCCCACACGTTTAAACTCTCATCAGAGCATACGTGTTTAGCAAAAACTACCACGTACTGACGTAACTTTACTCAAACGTGTTGTGCTGCCTTGGAGAAATCGCGGCCCCGAACCACGGATACGTACCTTTTTTGCCGAAACCAACGCCACGTTTAAGCTCCCATTCATAAGCAAAGGCCGAAGTTCTTTGACATTCCTCACATCTTTATAAACAACAATGTAAACGGAAAATGACTTGTCCCCCACACCCAGTACGTGATGCTCCATGGGGGCCGCCATTATATCCGTCAAGAAGTGCATTTGCAGGAAAACAACAAACAATTTGTACCATTTGATGACGTCATATACAATACTAAGGCCATATTTACATATAACTGACGTCAATGACTATGCTTGTTTGCCCTCAAGAAGATAAAAATACTTTTTGTATCAACTTTATGAGTGATTAGCAAAGATTTGGCTAATCATGTTTATAACGCCATGATTTTCTGGCTTTTCTGGTGCACACAACACACCGGTGACTTGCTTCGTTTCCACGACAACACCGAGTCGATTGCTCGGACTGCGGAGAGTGGGAAGGGGCGTTGGGGGCCTTCGGTTGGGGTGCGGACGGCTTGGTACCGTGCGGTTGGATGCAATTAGTAGCGGCGCATTTGTTGTGATCCAATTAGGTGTTGTGAGCACTGTAACGCGCCGCACCAGGAGCTTTCACTAGCCCAAGCCCTCGTTCGTGATGGCCGAAAAGGAGCAGACGAAGGCTACTGAACAGAACTCATCAAACTCCGTTCCGAACCTAAAAATGTACAGGAACTTGCGACTTATGTAAGCAAGACGTGCTTCTCACGTTTTTCTATCAGATGTTGTGATGCATATAAGAAACGCCATTCAGTTTCCAGAAAGGCCTGTGTCTAGAAATTCTGCCGAACTTGGCCGAGGGCTGATTTTAGTGTAAGAGTGCTCTGGACTCACCTCACTGATGGCATGTGTCATGTGCTGGGGAAGGATTCTTGCAGACTGGCATGTCCATACGTTGGAACCTATTTTGCATGCTAAGGGCATAATTTGCAAAGTCATTGCAATGTTCAGGGATTGCTCCTTAAATAAGGAGAAATTGAGACTGCATGATTAGTGGTGCAACTCCTTATATCCATGCACCAAGTTGTACATTTGGCTGGTTGCCTTGATACACACATTTTGAAATTGATATCTTCTCACCAGGCAGTTATATCAGGAAGAGTGATGGGATGCCACCACCAAATCTTGGCATTGGAAAAAGTGGTTTCAAAAAGTCAAAAAGGATTAAATTCTGTCCTGATGGCTCAATTGGTTGGAGTGCCTGCCTTCCAATCCACCCACCCCTGGCAGGGTGGGTTTGAGTCGCCTTAGGCGCTTGCCATTTGGCCTTGACAAGCATGGCCTGTGGCATGGAAGGGGTTGTGCTAAAGGTCAGTTGATGTCCCGCAGGACAGACCATGCCAAGCATTGCGGCACATAAAACTTTTGCCACTAAATTCTGCCGTTGCCTGGACTTGTGGAATCAAATGGTAGTGGTGAGGCTCACACAACAAGCACTGATTGGCCTTAGCTCTGATCCCAGAAATCCATCCATTCAAAAGGGTTCAGGTCAAATCTTAAGAAAAAGTAAAGAAAAAAGTCAAATGGTAAAAATTCTAAAGGGCAGCAAGCCAAGTGACAAAAAGTGAAATGTTATGCCAGAATGCTGAAAAGTCAAAAGATTAAAGTCAAGCATAAAGGTCTGTTAAATATAAAACATCATAGGGACAAAAATCAGGAGGGGCTTTGCCAAAAGACTTTCCCAATAATAGGCTTCAAGTCAGAATGAACCAGGTGCCAGGAGCCCTGAAGCAAATAAGGTTAAAAACCTGTTGATTATTTGGGATATTTTCCACCCTAATCCAGGGAACCCCATAATCTGTTGACAGCCAGGAGGCTCATGCATCTCATTCATGTTTGGGCTTGGCCTCCTCTACATGTCAGCATGGCCCTTTGTATGCTTGCAGGGACCCTTTTGTTGTAGGCATAGTCAGTGATTACGCAGGAGCGAGGGAGCAAGGGGCAGTAACCCACCCACATAACTGAGCTGGTAGACCTAAATTGTCATTTCTGGCCCTTTCTGCACCAAGAGGCTTTTTTGTCTGAAGGGCCTGAAACCACCTGTAAAGTTTTTCTGTAGCTAAAAATCCATGGCACCACTGGTATGAGGAATGTTCTGTTATGGCCATGGTTTTCTATAGTTTAAGGGATTTAAGTGGATAAGCTAAAATATATACCATCGCGAAAAGTCATCATGAGCTAAGACACCTATCCAGGGATGTGGTTTCCTATTCAGTTGGGGGAGCTGAGCCGCCCCCCCCCCCCCCTCCCCGCTCCCACCTTGGGCTTCAGTCCCCTAGACTTTAGGAAGAAAGTGGCCAAATCTGGGGTGAAACCTGTTGGCAGATTTAAAGGCAGGTTTGGTCATTTTTCAATGTTCAGCCCTCCCCTTCCAACCATTTCGAGAAACACATCCCTGCACTTCCATCACGCAACCGGACCTTTTTTTGCCGCAAAGCTGGGACTCGGCCTATGCACCTTTTGCGGAGTCACGAGCCGATAAATGTCGTATTTATTCCAACTGGCTGAGCGGGCGGACTCTTCATACCCCCCCCCCCCCCCCCCTCTTAGTCCCTCCCGTGAATGCCTGACCAGAGGCTCTCGCTGTGTTTTAAAGCCCTGTTTAATCAAGGGAAGTGATTTTTGTAGCCGTTCATGCTGTTGTCCATTTCGCGTTTATCCCTTTTGACTTTTTGTTATCCGACTTTCTGCTTTAGACTGTTATCGTTTTTGACTCCTATCCCTTTAAATGTTTGTTCGATTGGATTTTTGCCTTTGACTTTTACTGCGTTGGAAGTTTTGGCTGTTTAGCTTTCTTACATTTGACTTTCAACCTTTTGACTTCTATTTGGCTTCTTGTTCGTTTGACTTTTTTGGTTTGACTTTTTTGGTTTGGTTGGTTTTTTTGACGTTTGACTCTTTTGCGGTTGACTTTTATCCTGTTTGACTTCTTGCCTGTTAAATTTTTGTTTCTGACTTTTTGTTTATGATGTTGTGTCCTGTAACCAAAGCTATTTTGCTATGATTTCACCAAAACGTTGTACTACGGCTTTGACCCCTCCCATTTGGCATTCAGCCACAACAGCTCTTTTCGAGGTGCACTCTGGCTTTGGAAAAGGGAGTATCACATGTTCGATGTGACGCACTGATTTAAACTTTAGCCCGTGCGCTTCTCGGTAACAGGCCGTTGTCCGCTGGACTAATCACAGGCGGTCGTTTATCCGCGCCAGTCGAGATATGCACGCCGGCTGCCATGACGAGGGTGGCGCAACTGCAGGGAAGGAGCATAGTGCTGGTACAAAGCGTCGGCACATAATTTGGACTCAGAGATAATTAGAATTGATATCCTTGTTTATAGTAACGGTGTGCAGTAGCTCAACCCAGTGCTGGTATTAGACATGGCCAGTCCTGAGGTTTCATGGGAGAATGTTTTTAAATATGCCGTTCAGGTGGGACACTTTCTTTAGTGGGAAGTGAAGAAAATAACACCAAGTTGACAAGGGATAACTTAAGAGCAAAAATGACTTGTGGATGTCAGGTCATCACCAAATGTTACCTACGTCACACTCAGTTAAGCGCCGAGTACTAGATGTTAAGTAAAAGTGTTTGGGACTGATCTTTATACTTTCATAAAGTTATGAGGAACAGACAACTAGTTTTTTCGGGGAGAAGCAACTAAGACACAAAACAATGGTTGAAGGAAGTAGTAACTTGATAAACCTCATAATTGTGCGACCTTAGGTTGGATCGTGGGCTGAATATGACCATGGGACCATAGGACCATAGGATCATAGGATCATAGGTTAAGCACTTGTACTTTGGCATGCCTGATAGTCGGCCTTGGTTAGTGTGAAATTTGGTTGCTGCTGTTTCTGCAATCCTTTGGCTGTAATTTTCATGAATTCATAGGCAAAATACCCAAAATGATCAGCATACACAGCTGCTTTGTTTATTTGCATTTTACCTGAGGTCAGGACGTACATAGTACTTTCACGCCACCTCATTTCACCTGCCATCAACAGGCATTTCAAAAAGGTAGTGGGACTCTACTCCGTTCCCATGAGAGCAAGACACAATGTAACGAAAGAAACACAGATGACTCAATCATGCTTTGTATTGTCATGAGTCTTGACCCTAGGGAAAATACTTGTGAGTAAAAGCATCAAGATGGAAACCATGAACACGCCCATGATCCACAAGATCTATGTTGCGCTATTCCTGCCCAGAAGTGCAGGTATAGTTCTTAGGTGTTAGCTGTAACAAACGTTGTTGCCATTGAAGTGGCATTTGGTGTAGCAATATCCCACATTCTAGTGGCGCATTATGTTCATTAAATTCCATGAGTGAAGGCAATGCAAGTATTCGAAGGGTCCTTCAAAAATTTTAAACGTATTAACCTTATACGTATAAAACTATTGACGTGTTTGTGTCCACCTCCTTGGCAGGTGCAAAGCCTGCTGGAGAACATGCAGCAGCGCTTCCAGACTATGTCAGACAACATCATCAGCCGAATAGACGAGATGGGCGACCGGATTGACGAGCTGGAGAAGAGCGTGGCAGACGTGATGACTCAAGCCCAGACGGTGGACGACGGAGACAAGTAGTCCCACCCGGCGGCCCCCCAGTGGGTCTACGGCCGATCTCTGGCGCCCGACGGCGTGCGCGGGGCGCGGACACATGTCGGTGTTCAAAGCTTTCAGCCTTGGCTGGCCTGAGTTTGTGTTTGGTTGCTGTGCCGGTCGGCGCGCGCGGGAAGGCGAAGCGAGCGTCAGTCGATCGGCACCGCTGTCGTGAGCGCCGCCCGCTCCTGCGGCGGCCGGCCGCACGCCAGGCCCGTTTGGTGGGCCCCCGCGGGAGTGGTCGATACGCGATACTCGATAGTCGCGGCTCGCTGCTCTGCTAAGGCACATTGAAGAACGGGATGGGCTGCACCATTGATCACTGCCCGTCGACTCCCAGTCATCGTTTGATTGCATCCATCCCGCGCCCAGCACCGTTTTGGAAGGTCACGATGCTTGCAGCTGCCGCGGCAGCATAGTTGAGTTAGTTGGAGAAGAACAGCTACGACCAGCGCGTGGTTTTCATGGATCTGTCGCCACGCAGGTAGTTGGACAATTTGCTTTATGTTGCATTTTAGCTGTTACAATACACACGTGCGCATGCTACGTTTGCCTCTGGAGGTGCAGA